CCTTTCAGGGCACTTTGCGCTATGCTGAAAAGCCACAAAAACAATTATCATGTGGGAGAAAGGGACATCTTGGTCACTATATTGTGCAATTCTGTGGACAGGACATTTTTCTCAGTCGGTACAGAGGGAAAGAGTTTTATTGGTGTGCAGGAGAATTAAACCAAAGTCATTTTGCTTTCAAAAGACATACAACTTCCTAGAGCCTGCTCTTCAAGTGGGAAAGGCAAGGAACAAAGAGGGAGAGAAGTCCAGAAAAGTGTCAGTCAAGACTGGTATCTCTGTCTTAGGAAGCCAGAGCTGTATTTTCCATATAGCTGAGAGAATGAGAGAGAACCCCGCCCACCTCACCTTCTACACAGCACCACCCACAGAAAGAAGGAATTTGAACTGGAGGGGAGGAAGTGAGAGGGGGTTGGGGGCAGGGGGATACTTACTCCCAGATTACAATTTTTCAAAAGAACCAGAGGGTCCTAGGAGGAGGAAAGGACTTTGGAGACTAAGAGACTGCAGAGAGAGTAGTCTAGAGCTGGGATAGCTTCCCCCAAGATTGGGAAGGGGAAGAGGCTGCCAATCCCAGGAAGGGTTCGGCCCAAGTCCACTGTCTTTTCAGCTCCCCAGGAAAGGACATGCCTGGAGAGGAGAGTTGGACCTAGTACCCCAGTTTCCAGATGAGCTATACCTCTCAGGAAATCACATAGACCACCATCATAAATGTTTCAGTGCTAAGTAGTGACTAGGGAAAGTTTCAGCCTCCCATCTCATAATCCCTATCAACGCCACCCTCAACGCAATGGCCATATAAACACACAATCTAAAGTAAAACCAGTATGTTTGCTATGTAAACCCAGTTTTAATTCACATCCCCTGGTTCCTTCCATCCAGATTGCACCCAATCTTAAACCCTTCCTAAAGGGAAATTCTTGAGCTTCTAATGGATTATACCAGCACCAATGGACATAGACCAGAGAGCCTTCCGCATATATTCTGGGACCTCTGTAACACCTGCAGATTTATTGTTCTACCACACAGAGAGACGGGGGGCTCAGAACCACATTTACCAATAATGATGATGATGGTGATGATAAATAATGCAATATGACATTTCTTACACTTGAGTGGAATGCAGTAAAAACAATCACACATGACACAATTGCTCAGCTTAAAATTTGTGTTTAGGCAACAAATATTTATGTCCCTTCTGTAGGTATTTCACTTTTATTCTCTATGAACATTTAGTGAAGTTCCTTTAAAACCATCAAGCTCCTACTTCAGCTGTGTCCAAGGAAAGGAGATTTTTGCTTCTAAGCTGTAACTCCATAACGTCTGTGTTCTCTTTTCATAACAGAAGCCACTGCCTTGTATTAAGACATTAGTAGAAACTATTTTATAAGTGGCTTTAAGAAATAACTCACAAAACTACTAAGACGTGTATAAGACAGAATGGCCTTCAGCACTGAAAAGCACTAAAGCAGAGACTGAAAACTAGAAAGCTGTGGCCTAACTCAGGCCAAGAGACTTTTTGAACGTCCACAAAACGTTTATTGACATTTTTAGTAAGGTGCCAACAAATAAACTCAGAAAGCCCATGTAAAAATCTTCGATTTACAGCTTTTCTTGAAAAATTAGAAGATCGGACAACACTGGGTCCCTGCAGGTTCACCTGGCAACAATCAGCCAAACCAGAAAATCACTGAGCCCTTTAAACACCCCCAGCTCACCACAGTCCAGCACCTTCAGTCCCTGCGGCAAACTGGCCACTTCACTAATTTCGGGTACCTAATGGTCCCTGAAGGCATCTGAACTGGTGACCTCAGTTCCAAAGGATAAGTAAGAAATGCTCATTAAATACGTGGCAACCCAGAATGAAGGGTGGCCCAGCACCTGAAGACCAGCGATGGCCTTGATATTCACACAACCTCTGTCTGCACCGCACACTAGACATCAGAGATGGAGCAAGTCCTGAACAAGGTTACTTCCTTTTCACTTTTTTCTTCCACTGAATTATCATATAAGACAGATTTCTTCTCAGTTATTAAGTCCAAAACAATAGCTACACAGCGTATATAGTGACAATAATGACACTTAAAAAGCTGATTCAGACCCTGCCTCTCTTGGTTGTCATGAGTTAAGCAGGTTGCTTTTTTTTTTTTTTTTTTTGCGGTACGCGGGCCTCTCACTGTTGTGGCCTCTCCAGTTGCGCAGCACAGGCTCCGGACGCACAGGCTCAGTGGCCATGGCTCACGGGCTTAGCCGCTCCGCGGCATGTGGGATCTTCCCGGACCAAGGCACGAACCCGTGTCCTCTTCATCGGCAGGCGGACTCTCAACCATTGCACCACCAGGGAAGCCCCTAGACAGGTTGCTTTTAAATTAAGTGTCTCAGTCTCCTCATTTGTAAAATGAATGAGTTTAGCTAGAATGATCATTAAGATCACTTTTAGTTGGCCTCTCCCCATCTATACCACCTCTACTTATCTAGAATCTATCTACTCAACCCTCAGAAAATGTTCAAGTTCCACACCACCACAAAACTTCTGCAGACTTCTCCTTTCTTTGAAGTTTTAAGCTCATAAACACTACCACCCAAATTAGCACTTACTAATTCTCTAATCACTTTGAGTTTGTTGGTTCATTCCCCATATTCAAACAGAAGATCTCTTTAAATAAGAGACTACACTGTTTATTTTTTAAATCTTCCACAGCATTTTACATTTATTTAGCAATCAATAATTGTTAATTAAACTGAATAATGATACAGAAAATATCTATAAAGTGGCAAACTTCCCAAAGAGCAACTTTCACCAGCCTCCTGAGAAGGAATTAACCTTATCAGCGTCACAACTTGCCCATTTGATTCAGGCAGGCATAATGTGTACTATGCAATGAAGAGACACACAACTAGATTACCCTATTGTTTTTTTTTTTTTTAAGATGTTGGAGGTAGGAGTTTATTAATTTATTTATTTTTGCTGTGTTGGGTCTTTGTTTCTGTGCGAGGGCTTTCTCTAGTTGTGGCAAGCGGGGGCCACTCTTCATCGCAGTGCACGGGACTTTCACTATTGCGGCCTGTCTTGTTGCGGAGCACAGGCTCCAGACGCGCAGGCTCAATAGCTGTGGCTCACGGGCTCAGTTGCTCCGCGGCATGCGGGATCCTCCCAGACCAGGGCTCGAACCCGTGTCCCCTGCATTGGCAGGCAGACTCCCAACCACCGCGCCACCAGGGAAGCCCCTACCCTATTGTCTTGTACATGTTCATTGCTTCCTTCCATAGTCGAAATGCTCAAAAGAGGAAAAATACAAACAATAACTCACTACAATAATATACTGTATTACTCACTGAAAGATTAGGTTACTCACTAAAATACAGCATGAGAAAAATTTTCCTACCACAATTAAGAAAAGAAAATCAATTTCTATTAAGGGGCTGTGGGTCAGACATTTAAAAACTACAGTGAAAACCACCCTTGCTCCTCCCCCACCCCTTGGATGTCATCAGAAGTTCTGAGTAAGAGGAGGCCAAGTTAAGATGCCATGTGGGCGGGGATTTACCCACCTTCACCAGAAAAGCAATGGTATACAGGTTTTACTTGTTCTGGTCAAACTCTCCTCCCCACCCCCAAATAATTAAAACTTTAGATATGTGGTCAGTCAGTCCTTCCCTATCAAAGAGCAAAGCAAACAGGAAAAAAGAATAATTCAAGTATAAGACTTTAAAAAAAATTTTTGTGATTGCCTTAATTTATTCAATGAATTTAAGATAATTAACACTAGTAAACTAAATTAACAAGTGTTAATCACGCCTTAACAGCTAGCCAAATCTAGTGGATTGAAGTTAAATCAATTTTAAAAATGTTCTCCTGTGATGGAACAACACTTAATACAGATGTTTCCACTTAACCCATATTCTGTGGAAGGAGAATTCGTTCTATAATTTGTATTATACACATACAAGGCTTGAGGGTCTGAATCAAGAGGTGGTGTACATGTAGGCTCGAGGATTTATTAAGGGGAGGGGGTGAATCATGAAAACAATCCCACTTGGACCTTTCTGGAAAATCATGGCCCTATCCAATTAAAAAGTATGGGAAATACTGATTAAATGCCTATAATTTTTCTGGGGAATCCCTGTAAAACGCAACAAGGTTTTACAATCTGAGGGAAACAAAAATCGTCTCAAATTTAAAAATAATAATCATTAAAAAAAACTGCCTTGCAACAGTTTCAAGCCTTCGAACGGTTTGTTTTTATCTGGTGGTGCTGATCACCCTGTTAACTCATCCCCTCTGACGGGAAGCCTGTCAGTCCCTCCACACACAGCCTGAAGAGGGCTCCTGATTAGGCTTCCTCCTTTAGCCACGCCTACACATGGAGCATCGCGAGGAACGGAAAGTATGCCCAGCCTCCGCAGCCCCTCACACACCCATCTCCTACGGTTACCATCAATAGCTTAAACTCTAGGTTTTCCCACATCCCTGTCAAATGAAATGGACAGAACCCAAACGAACCGGAGAATGATGTCGCTGTTTCTCTTAATTTAGGTCAAGGACACTTACACTCTTCTACTGCCCTTTGAAAGGAAAATCCTAACTGCCCCTCCAAGTCCCATAAAAAGGCACAACCCTGTTCCTATGGCGAAGTCTAAAGGAACGGAATACCGTTTCTCTGGGATCACAACAGGGCATGGCGTGGGAAAAACCTTTAAATTCCGTTTTCTTTAGTACTATGCCCACCACACCAAAGGGATTTAACCTTTAGGCATGGTGTTGTACTTAAGATGCTCCACACAATCTAGCAGAAACTCTTAAAACCAAGGGCCAACTCACTAATTTCAAATTTAGGGTTAAATGACGGAGAAGGGCACCCTCCCCCATTTCGGTCGCACAGCAATAGCAATGAGTTTTGAGGAGAGACTCTCCAGTGACTCAGCCTACAGCGACCTCCCTCACACGCACACATCCTACTCCACAAACTAACGCAGCCGTCGGGGGACGAAGTCCTTACTTGGCCTCACATTCGGGGTGGGGATCCTCCTCTCCAAGGACCACCAGCGCAGGAAGAGACTCTCCCCTACACTCCGGCTCTCTACTACTATACCCCCAAGGGGCGGGGCTTCGACCCCAGGTAACCAGACCAGGCAATCTGGACACCCAATTAGCAGGGGATCCCCCAAACCAGCCTGGCCAATAGCGGCCAGTGGGCCAAGACGACCAGACGTGACGTCAGGTACGATTAAGTTGGCGCGTCACCTCGACGTCAGCCTCTTACCTCTCGGACGTCCCGTCCCGGGAGCAAACTCCAGCGACTTTGGGCTCCGCCCCCGTGAGAGCGGAGGGCGGCCAATGAGGACGGCTCTGAGGGGACCGGGGCCAATGAGACGAGCCCGGGGCGGGGCACGAGGCCGGAGGGTGGGGCGGGTGGCGGCGGTGGCAGCCCGAGGTCTGGCTGCGCGCAGTCTATGACAGTACGTCAGCAGCGGGATGGCCGTAGCTGTGGCGGCGGCTGCAGAAGCCCGAGCAGCCGCGGCCGCAGTGGAGGCTAGAGCCCGAGCGGCGTCGGCGGCGGCACCCCGGGGAGTTTAAGATGGCGGCAGGGGGGGCGGCGGGCCTGCGGGAGGAGCAGCGCTATGGGCTGTCGTGCGGGAGGCTGGGACAGGACAACACCACCGTACTGCATGTGAAGCTCACCGAGACGGCGATCCGCGCGCTCGAGACCTACCAGAGCCACGAGGTGAGCTGGGCAGTTGGCCGGGTTCGGGAAGGAAGAGGGCGTCCCTCGCCGCCCCGCCGCGCCTCTCCCTGCCACCGGCACCTGGCTTGGGGCCGGTGGAGCAGGGGCTCGCCGTCAGCGCCCGCGGCGGCAGGGCTGGGCAGGGCCGGGCAGGGTCGCTGACGCCGCCGTCCCGGGCCAGCTGGGCGCCTGGGCGTTGGGAGGCGGGCGGGCGGGCGGCCCCTGGCGGCGGGGCCGAGGCAGCCGCAGCCCTGGCTCGGCTGCGCAGCCGCTGCGGGACTTTCCGACGGCGCCCGGGTTTTCTAGCCTTTTCTGTCCCAGTGAGGGAGAAGGGCAACAGGGAGACGAGTGAGATGGCTCTTCTGCCCACGGCGTGTCGGGGGGGTGGGGAGGGGTCGGAGGGCAGCGTCCGGGTAACGAACCCGAGAGGACCGGCGGGCACTAATCGTCCGCGTTTTGGGGGTACCACCGCGGACCAGCAGAGACCGGGACACAGGCGCTCCGCGTATGAAGGTGGGATACACATTGTACTCGCAAGAACTTGGGGATACAGGCGCTGAGCTTATGGGGCCGGGCGGGGGGCACACCGTGTACTCGGAAAGGCTGAGGCACAGACAGTCCGCGTATGAGAGAGGAGGGGGACACACCTTACACTTCCAGAGACTTGGGCACACGGGCGCTTCGCGTTCCCAGAGACACAACACCGCGTAGCGAGAGCCACACACAGCCAGCGCTCACCCGGGAGCAGAGACATCGGTTACTGAGGAGAGAGAGTCTCCGTGGCTCCTCATACCCGAAAGACGCGTCGCTCGCGTCTGAGGCGGATTCACAGACTTGGAAACTTGGATCGAGGGTCCGGGGCGGGGGCGGGGATACACTGCGTCCCGGGCAGACTCGGGTTTCTCACCCTGCACCGCGTGCCGGAGAGAGATCCATGGACACACACAACTCGAGCACAGCGAAGGCTCACGTACTCGGCAGTTGGAGGACAAACCCAGGGACGCGTTTTCACGTTTAAAAAAAAAAAAAAAAAAGTGAGGGATAGAGTGGGAGGCATAGCGAAGAAATGCCGCAACCGGAGTGCCTAGGGAAGCCGTTTATGGAGATGCAGTACTGTGAATGAGTGAGGGAGACAGAGTGGACGCATCGCATAAGGGGAGGGATATACCATATGAGGGACCGGTAACAGTCACTCTGAGAAGAGAGACCGTCCGTGGAGCAGAGAACCCACAGGGTATCCCGACAAATAGCCAAGTCCATGTCAAGGAAACACGCTCCGATTAACTGATCTCATAAAGCAGGGCCAGAGGGATACCCAGACAAGCTCATAGTTATTCAGATAAAAGTGGAGAAAGGAATTAACATCTGTTGAGCTCCCACTAGTGCCAGGCCCTTTAAATGCTTGGAAGGAAGGTCCAGAGTTGGAGGCAAAACCGCAGGAGAGGTGTGAACCTGGGCCAAGGGAGACTTACCTTCAGGGGGCCCCTACATAAGCATGCACACAGGAGGAGGCACACAGTTGTGCACAGCTTGAGGAGTACATGAGCTCACATGATAGTGTACATGTAAACAGCAGGAGCGACTCAGAAATGAGCATGCCCTCAGGATGGCACTCACAGAATTGAGTGGACACATGGATGTACATTCCAGGGCATATGAGTTACCCACCAGAGAAGCATAGGCGAAAAACACTCAGACTCGGGGGTGGAGGGAGGAGTGCATGCACAGGGAGAAAGATACTTTTCCTACACACCATGAAGTCTCAGGGAAAGAGGGTCTCATGTATGGCTGGGAAGTCACACAGCAATAGAAATGTGAGGAAATACAAGAAATAAAAACTGCATGTGTCAGTAGCTACTCCCAAACAGGTGCATCTGCAGGGAAGAGACCAGCACCAGCACCAGCATGGAGTGGGAGGCCCATCTGGGGGAAGCCAGATAGGCAGGCAGAGGGACACAGGGGCAGACACTGGAGAGAAACTCAGCCCTGCAAGATGGAGAGATAAGCTTGCCTGTTCCAAGAGGAGGGTGTGGGAAGGAATGACAGTGGGAAGAAGGTAGGTCAGGGTATGTAAAGAGAAAAACACCGGAGAGGAAGAGGCCAGCAGGAGGAGGCCAACCTCCAGTCAGAAACAGACCCAGGGAGCAGAAAAAGACTGACACACAGGGGTGGGGAGAGGCATCTCTGGGGACAGTAGGTCAGCCAGTCACCTTGGGGGGACAACTGGCAAACTGTACAGCTGATCACAACAAGATTGACAGACACTGACCTGGAAGAGGTGGGTGAGGAGGCCCGCACAGGGAAGGGATGGTACCCAGGGAGAGAGAGGTGACAGAGAAGCCCCCAGTGCTCACTGAGAATGCTGTTTGTTTTTCTCCCTTCATTTCTGCCTCCCGCACCTTAGTGTTTACGTGCTTGGGATTAAAGTTGGAATGCTTGGATTCTAAAAGCCCCACATATATACCACTGTCTTAAGAAACAGCAGATCAAAAATTCTTCCTCTTCCAACCCACCACTTAGTTCTTGATTTTTTTTAAGTTATATTTATTTATTTTTACAGTCAAAGGTACCAAAGTCAATGGTTTTCCTTGCTCCTGACTACTTCTATTGCCTATTAATATCATTACCATCTGTTTCCATCTCTGTGCATGCAAATTAATGTATCTAGTCAATCTGTACAGAGGCAGAGAAGGGAAAGGGAGAAGACTTTTCCAACTCCCTCTACCCTTCTGAGTTGGACCCAGGTAGATTGAGACAATCCGTGGATTCCTTTTCTTCTAAAAGTTGGTAGTAGAAGCAGTACTATGCATGGAGAGGAGGAAGAAATAAGCTGACTTGGCCGTTGCAGTTGGACACTGCCTTGTTTCTGACTTAACCAGTTCCTGTCCCCAGGCCTCACTGTCACTTTGGCCACAGAAACACTTCTTAAGGGGCTTAGAAAAGCAGGATTTGGGGTGAGACTGTTAACTTCAGACAGCTGAAAAGTGGGAAGAGACAAAAGAAAAAGAAATGAGGTACTGTTGGAACTTACTACAGTATCCTCTGGTGTGTTCAGCCAAGTCTCCCACAATGTGTCCTCAGTGTCCCACCTTCTGACTAGGGCCAGACCACGGCTCCCCCATCAACACGGTAAAGTAGCCAGCAGTGGGCATATGGCCGAGCTTTTCTCCTCCAGTAGAAGGATACATACTTGGTCTTTTACGCTTTCACTTTCCACCCTTATCAAATTAGGGCTCCTAACTTTAAATTGTAGCTGCGTTTGGAAAAATGTTGGAATGCATTGGCTACTCAGGGAGAAGTTTCTATTCTCTCCTGGGGAGAGGGGCAGGATGGCTTTAACTTCTCATATAAAACTGCCCCTACCATTCCTCTGCTTAGATAGGAAGGTGCTTGATGCTTGACAAGTGGCCTCCAAGTGGCTTTGGCCCATGCAATGTTATGACTGTTATGCCTCCTCTTCGGATGACTTTCTAAGAGCCAGAAATTTCAACAGGTTAATTTCCTAAATTAAGCATCAGAGAGTTATTTTTATCCAGATTATTTTGTCCATTGGATTTACTCTCCTATCCACTTGACCTAAGACTTCAGGGAGGTAAATTTAAGAATTTTAGGAAACTATGACTTAGGCTAAATACAGATGTTCTTTAGAGTTCATGGAAACAGAATCTTTTAATTAGAAACAATTCCTCACTGTTTCGAAAGACAAACCTAATTGACCTTCATTACTCAAGTTTTCTATTTTTAGAGAAGAAATGAGGAAAGCTAACTTGGGAACCTTTTAAACAGAGATTGGGATGCGGGATAGAGACATTGTGATTCCAGGAATGGGAGTTATATTTGGAGTAAATATCTCCTAAAAGTTGTTTCCCACTCAGTTTGAATACAGAGACAGTTTCAAGTTGATTATATAAAAAAGTGTTAACTGGAAAGTTATTTTCATGGTTTGCAGAATGAACTCAGAATACTTATACAGATATTTAGCATATATTGCAAAACTACTTTTTTTTTTCCTATAGATAGCTTATTTTGAATGAAGGTACAGATTACTAAATAAAAATCACATATTACAACTTTATAGTCATTCTAAACTGATGTCTGAATTTGTGGTCTATATAAGCCTCACATATTTTAAATGAGCATATGTTACTGTAATTACATATTTCTCCCAAATGTATCCTAAAACTATTTCAAATTAAACCTCAAAATTCTAAAATTTATTTTAGCCAATTCCTTCAGTAATTTGTAGCTGGCTTTATTTTGACATTTGAGTAACTCATTTGGTAGTAACAAAAATCTTATCAAAATTTTGTTTTCAGATTCTCTTATTGCTGAGCCTGTTGATTTTTTTTTAATGTTTACTCAAAGTTTCAAAGGTGGTAGCTCAAATAATACTGTCATGTTTATCCAACTATTACATAAAAAGTCTTGCATAGATGCATCTGGAAGCAGGGGCCATTCATTCTCTATGCCTGAAGATGAGAAAGGAGATGACTTTAAGAAGGATTCTGTTAACACATTC